TATAGTAAAATAACTTGCAACGCATTTCTATAGCAAAATAATTTGCAAAGCATTTCTATAGTAAAATAATTAACAATGAATCTGTCTAATATACAGTGTATATGCTTTCACTATTTACTGTGTTCCGCCTGTAATCATTAGAGTGAATCAAAGTGCTGCACTATTTTATTTTCTTCTTCATTTTTAAACCATCGCGATTATTTCGCGAGCATTTTTGCGACCTTGATGTGGGTCGCTACTCTCAGATTGGGAACCACGTGAGTAACCCCCCCCCAACACACACACACACTCTACGTTTTAAATTGTCAGTCCGCTGAACACAACACACAATCTCATGTTCTGTTGCAAGCAACACAAATGTAAATACATAAAAATGCTCTTCCCAGTTTGACCCACAAACGATGTCTGATCACCAAGGAATTTTCGCACGACATTTAAAAAAAAAAAAAAAAAAAAAAAAATTGGCTCCATTGACTGCTTCTGTAGTGTAATGGTTGATGAGCCAGTCAAACAGTTTATTATTCTCGCTGGAAGCTTATAAAAGAGCTATAAAAATCAAAAGTTAAGACACTTCACTGTCGGTTGATATGTCAACGGGCGAATCTAGCAGACTATTAACATAGTGTAGAAGGTCTGATCCTCACTGGGTGCCCCAGGTTTGGGACCTTGTGTTAATGTGAAGAAAAACTCAGTCAATAACTATCGAGATAACTGATTCGTTAACCCCACCGTAGTGTAATGGTTAACGAGCAATACATGAAGATCATCACTTGTAAGCCATGTTCGATTCTCACTGGGTGCCTCAAACGCGCTAAAGAAAGCTAAGCTCAGTAAATAGCTAAATAGCTAACAAATTCAGTCGTCTCGCCGTCTTGCAATGGTTAACGAGCTAGAAGTTCGTCACCTCTGAATAGGAAGTTCGATTCTAACTGAAGCTCCAAACGTTCAAATAATGTTTAGCAAGGTTGTCTAGCAGAGCTTTTACAAATGCTTAGTGAGTTCGATCCTCACTGGCGCAACATGGTCTTCTGACATACCGACTTTCCACCTATTTCGTCTTATTCCGTACTACGGTAATATTCGTGATCTAATATGGCTAACGACGAAACGTCGTCAACCTCTCGCTTGCTCTATCGCTATTTCCATGACATGTGTTCCGACGAGCGACATTCCTTGGTCCCACTAACCCTGACCAGGGACTCGCAATGCCGCGTACACAAGCGTGAATCATCCTCATTCCCCTCGTATTCCATTAGTAAGGATGAAATTCCTATCGGAGAACTCATTTCCAACAACCGCTAGTTTATATAACAAACAATCGGTAGGATGATTTCCCAATCATTACAATCTAACCTCTTGACCTCTAGGTATATACCATTATCTTTTCAGCATAACCCTATCAAATTCACTTGCCTTATGCTCTTGCAACATCACACAATAACACTCTACCTTGAGTGAGTCTCGGGCCTTGTATTAGGTGAACGTTAGTATTAAAAAAACTTTCAGATATTTAGAACCACAACGAATTGATTATTTTTCACGGCTTATCAACCGTAAGCTAGAAAATATTCTTAGATTGTAAGAATTTTTTTGGGGGGATAATAATAATAATTTACTGCTACTAATTAACCCATAGCTGGGGTGAGAAGGGGTGGATTCCCAAGGGCACTTGTGCGTAAATAAATATAACGAACCTGAGTGGAATTCGAACTCGGCCCTCCGATTGCGAAATCCGTGCCCATTATTCATTACACCACCTGTACATCCAAGCTTACAGCGCCTGCTATTCCCAAGTGGTCACCCATCTTGTTAATGACCAGGCTCGACGTTGCTTAACTTTGGTAATCATACGATGTTTTAGCGCGAGATGAACCTAAACCCACTGCAACTGATTAAAAAGACAAATCACGAATTTGCAGCAATTAACACTCATTCCTTTTTCATTTGTTGAAAATAGTAAATTTTTATGAGAATTTGATATATCTATAAAGTTGTATCCTGTCTGTTTATGTATATATAAAGTTGTAGCCTGTCTGTCTGTCTGTTTGTTATAGAACTCCTTCTAGGATTCTGGATATAAACGCCCATATTTAAAAAATAAAATATAGGAGAAAGTCAGAAGATGGAGGTCTCATCAGTAAGATCATTGAGTAATACTGAAATGTATCATTTTTCTCCGCAAATTATAACAATGATTTAAAATCAATCATCATTTTCCTATAAAAATAATCAATGATACTCATCAAGGCGCGGGTAATTCGGCTAGTAAACTTATAATTTAGAAGCTACTAATTAACAAAATTGTTTATTTAGTGGCTGTTTTCTTTTCTGTAATGCAGGTTGCATCCTTACTGGGGCGTTCAAATGGTTAAGTATTAAAAAACCCCAAAAAAACAGACGGTTAGAAACACCAGTAAAAAATATGTCCTTTCTTCTCTTCTAGGAAGAGATAAATAACATATTCGAAAATGGTCGATGCCTGGTTGAAATATCAGAGGCAATCTAAATGAATTAGCAAAGACGTCAAACATCATCTCATGTTGAATAAGCTAAAAAGCAAAAAAAAAGTAAAGTAAAGGAGAGAGAAGATGCAATCGTCTTTTCTTGTTCCTCTGTACACAGATAGTTTGTTGGCCGAGGTCATGAATAGCACAAAGGCATATCACATCAGCGGGAAATGAAGTTCACTTAATCTCTTGCGAAAAAAAAGCGAACGAAGGACAGACATGTCAGGAATACGCGTGTACTTATTTACTGAAATCTATCTATCTATCTATGAGCCTACAGAGACAGATAGATAGATAGATAGATAGATAGAGAGATAGAGAGAGAGAGAGCGATAGAAGCATACTGAGATAGATATAGATAGATAGATAGATAGATAGATAATGAACACACTGTCACAGATAGATAGATAGATAGATAGATAGATAGATAGATAGATAATGAACACACTGTCACAGATAGATAGATAGATAGATAGATAGATAGATAGATAGATAGATAGATATATATGCTCAGATAGATAGATAGATAGATAGATAGATAGATAGATAGATAGATAGATAGATAGATAGATATGAGTATACTGAGATAGATAAATAGATAGATATAGGCATATTGAGATAGATAGATAGATAGATAGATAGATAATGAACAGAATGTCATAGATAGATAGATAGATAGATAGATAGATAGATAGATAGATAATGAACAGAATGTCATAGATAGATAGATAGATAGATAGATAGATAGATGAATAGATAGATAGATAGATAGATAATGATAATGAACATGAATAGATAGATAGATAGATAGATAGATAGATAGATAGATAGATATAAACAATGATAGATAGATAGATAGATAGATAATGAACACACTGTCACAGATAGATAGATAGATAGATAGATAGATAGATAGATAGATAGATAGATAGATAGATAGATAGATATGAGTATACTGAGATAGATAAATAGATAGATATAGGCATATTGAGATAGATAGATAGATAGATAGATAGATAGATAATGAACAGAATGTCATAGATAGATAGATAGATAGATAGATAGATAGATAGATAGATAGATAGATAGATGTACTGAGATAGATAGATAGATAGATAGATAGATAGATAGATAGATAGATATACGCATATTGAGATAGATAGATAGATATGAACAATGATAGATAGATAGATAGATAGATAGATAGATAGATAGATAGATAGATAGATAGATATGAACAATGATAGATAGATAGATAGATAGATAGATAGATAGATAGATAGATAGATAGATAGATAGATAGATAGATATAAACAATGATAGATAGATAGATAGATAGATAGATAGATAGATAGATAGATAGATAGATAGATATGCGCATACTGAGAAAGCTAGATATATAGAATATGAATAGACTAGAAGAATACGTGTGGAGTTAAAAATTAGACAGGAGATAGACATGAAAATAAAACTGACTTCTCTGCCAATGCACAGCAACACAGAATAAAATCTCGCACGGGTGTTAAATCAGATGTCAAAGTGATTTATTACGTAAGAGCATTGCTAATGATTTCTCTATAGAAATATATTTAAATTCAGGAAGTAAAGTAGTTGTCAGTGTTCCGGAATTAATGTAAGCACTACTGACAGAATAAGGCGATTATATGCATAAATGTAAATGAATTGAAAATCAGGAAAAAAACGTATTGTCAGTGGTCAGGAATTAGTACCATGTTACTGACAGAATAGTGCTATTATATGTAAAATGCGTTAAATATGAAGAAGAAAGTATTGTCAGTGATCAGTAAATAAAGCAAGTGTTGCTGACAAACTATTTTTAATTATTCCTAAATATAGGATTTTTTTTTAATGATTTTTCAATAGGAATAAATCAAAAAGATTTTTAATCTATGAAAGCATTAACAATCAGAAACAAAGGGGTCATGAATGAATGGAGGATAACTTTAAATTCAAAACCGTAACAATCAAATCAAGGGTTGCCATTTGGTAACGCGTAGCAACCGGATGCCGCCCCTCCCAGGTTTACGGTGAAAACATCAGCAGCGGGATGTGGTCAATGATAGAATCTGACAGACCAGATTTGTGGCATTGAACTGCAAAGGTGTCATACAAAAAAGATCTAGACAAGCATAAACTTACGTGCCAGCAATAAAACGGAATGTCAAAGGGGCGGTTTTTCCCATGACACCGGGTTAAATACAAAAAGGTCGAGGTACGTATTATGAAGGGTTACTATCTGGGCATGAACCACCCCGGAAACTGAAAGAAGTATAGAGATGTCGATAGAAGAATACTGAAAACTGTTTTTTAGATTTGAAAACATGGAGACTATAGAGTACTTGAGGGGCCTTTGCTGATCATTCCTAAATTAATTAAATAAAATATATTACAGTTTTTAGCGGTTTTAATTTTTTTTTATTTTTCAATAAAGTTACAGTTTTAAAATTTTTTTTAAAGTTCTTCCTTTGAATGATGATAAATAGGTCAACATGTTTTCTCCCTAACATCCAAAAGTCCGGCGCCCCAAAAGTCCGGCGCCAAAAAAGTCCGGCGCCCCAAAAAGTCCGGCGCCCCAAAAGTCCGGCGGCCAAAAGTCCGGCGGCCAAAAGTCCGGCGCCCTAAAAGTCCGGCGGCCAAAAGTCCGACGGCAAAAAAGTCCGGCGCCCCAAAAGTCCGGCGCCCAAAAAGCCCGGCGCCCAAAAAGTCCGGCGCCCAAAAGTCCGGCGCAAAATCATCTGGAACCCAAACAACTGTGCCCACTCGTCCCATTCATCGCTGACTCGATAGTGCTGCAATATGTTTTCCGATCTTAAAATCAGGAAAAAAAAGATGGAAAAGTCGGAATGGAAGTTTCCGTCGCTCAAGTTCAGATGATCAAAGAATGAAATAATTTATTCGTATCTAGAATATAAATGTCCGTAGCAAACCTGAGATGATTTTATACGGTAAAACCGCGGTAAAGACCACAGATAATTTACCCCGTTCCTGCTTTGCATAAACTCTCAGGATACGTGAGAACTTGCCCTCTATAGATATCAATTTCTCGTTTAAATATGAACTCAATTCGGAATTCGCAAGAAATTAAAGCAATAGGTGGTCAAACTAGAATCGAACATGTTTAATATTCCAGACCCTCTATCAGCCTGCTTGATGCTAACCTGGCGGATAGCACACCATTGTGGCCAGTTGGTCACTCGCTTTCCACTGAAATAAAGTAGAGCAATTATAGTGAATCAATTTCTAGGTCTACTGCCAGGAATGTTGCTCACTGTGTCGTGCCTGGCAGTTTATTCTTGCCAGAATCTATCTTTTATTTATTTATTTTACAGTAAGGTTCATCCTGTATAAGACTCGGGGGACACTCGAGGTAGAGGGTTATGTTAAGATAGAGCTAGGCAAACTAAGGCCCGCGGACTACATCGGGCCCGTTGGTCTTTTTAATCCGGCCCACCGAAGATTGAAAGAATTATGACTGCGCATCCACTTGATCTTGTCCTGTAATTCCCTGGCATCTCACTAGGCGCCACGGGACGACTGCGCTGCGGTCACCGTAGATGATCGCTGCCACTGATGTCGCGTCTTAGTAGCGTCCTCCGCGCCGCAACGCTATCAACCCATAGCAGTTCTATTTTTGACGGGCCTGTTCTGTTTTGACAGGATTAACAAGCCACTTCAGCGGGTGTCATGTCCATTCACACAAGACCCTGAAACGACGCCACGGGAGTTGCAGTTGGAACTGATTGATCTCCAGTGTGACATCGTCTTAAAAGAGAAGTTTAGCTAATCTTAAACTGAATGAGTTTTATGCTTTATTAAGCGAAGCCACATTTCCAAACATCCAAAGATGGTGCAGAGGATGCTGATGTTGTTTGGCTCTACTTCTGTCTATGAACACCAACAAAGCACCCCACAAATTCCAGTTGAGTGATGAACACCTCAGATCTGTTCTGAGGCTTGCCAAAAAAAAAAAAAAAAAAATGTTGATCAACGACACTGTTTCCACTAAAAGTGAATATAAGTATTAACATTGTAATGCTTTTTTCTGTTTATGTTTGGTATGTATGTATCGGGTGATGGCCCGGCTGTCAATTTTTAAAAGTCAATGTGCCAAAAAGTTTGCCCACTCCTAATATAGAGCATAGTTTAGACATTTCTTTTTAATCCGGTCCGTCGAAGATTGAGAGAATTATGACTGCATTCGTTTGACCTGGCATCCCACTAGGTGCCACTTATGTGTGTGAACAGACTTTTAGTGTGATGAACCTCACAGATCCCAACTGAGTGATGAGCACCTCAGATCTGTTCTGAGACTTGCCACAAAAAATCTAACACCAGACTTCGATGCATTGGCAAAAAATGGGGATCAACAACACTGTTCCCACTAAAAGTGAATGCAAGTAATTGTAATGCTTAGAGGAGACACGGAAGAGTAATGGATAGCGGCTTAGATTGAGGAATCGGAGAGCTGAATTCGAATTCCAGTCGAATCCATTACATTCACTTACATGCTAATACCCTTGGGAAAGGTATGAATCCTCTTCTTCTCCCTCTAGCTATGGGTAAATAGCAGGACAGACTGGGTTCTATAGCCTTGGATGGCAACTGGTCTACGAGAAGGAAAACTCTGAATTCAAAAACCTGCGGAGGGTTGTTTGGGGACCTTGTGGCACGTAGTGCACCAGGTCTCTGTATTCGGCCCTTCAAAAAGTGTGGATGGTCCTGCACGAAACCTTCGCCACTATAATCAAATCTCATGTGCTATTATGTGACACCATGAATTGGATGACATGATGCTTTATTTATTTTTTGGGGGGACCGCTTGTGAATTCCAAATTCCCATGAAACTCCAATATTGGAGCCGGCTCAACCCACCCCGGGTGAATTATTTTTTGCATGCTAGCATGCTAGTTAACTTTCGTGTCAGTCAGCTGTTGGCTCTCACGCTGGCCAATAGAATCTTCCTGCCTATTCGTGGCAGCCAGCTATAGGCTCTCACTCAGGCCAGTAGAAAATGGCTGCAAACTACATGAAAACTGCCGTAGAAGCATGAAAAAATCGATTATTTCCACTATCTATGGGAGTTGGGAAATGCAAAATCAGTCTTGGCCTTACCACTAACTTGGAGCATGTGCATGTAAATTTTGGTGCAAATCCATCGAAAATTGCGACCGTGCATTCGTTACACACACACACACACACACACATCCTGCCTTTTATAGACAGACATTATTTGCGCTCAGATTTTTTTACTTCAACATTATTTTTAGTTTTAGTGGACATCCATATTTGAGTAGAGACTCCGTTTATTTAGTAAACAGTATATTGACTTATTTTCCTCTACCGGCCTAAATATTCGAGAAATCTTATTAAAGAAAAATATGCACATTCCGAGAGGATTCGAACCTACGTCTCCCTTGTGAAGAGAAATCATAGTTAGATCCAACGCATGTCGTTTTTTTTAAGTATCCCGTCTTCACGCGTAATGTATTTTTTTTAAGTATCACGTCTTCACGTCATGTCGGTTTTCTTAAAAATTATCCCGTCTTCACGCGTATTGTCATTTTTTTTAAGTATCACGTCTTCCCGTCATGTCGGTTTTCTTAAAAATTATCCCGTCTTCACGCGTATTGTCATTTTTTTTAAGTATCACGTCTTCCCGTCATGTCGGTTTTCTTAAAAATTATCCCGTCTTCACGCGTATTGTCATTTTTTTTAATGTATCACGCCTTTACGCTTCACATCGGTTTTTTTAAGTATCACGTATTCACGCCTTATGTCGATCTTTATTTAAAAAAAAAAAAAAAAGAATCATCACGGGTCATGTTATTTTTTAAGTATCGTATCTTCACGCTTCAGTCTGTGCTGACATGTTTTTTCTTTTCTTTTTTTTTTTCTTACATCTAGTGACACCATGAATTGGATGCTTTATTTATTTTTTTTGTTAGCTGTTATGAATCAGTGACTAGCGATAGCTTCTTAGTCAATAGAGAAATGCAAAGTCAGATGACAGACGTTACAACAAATGTGATAATAAAATATTACGTGGAAACAGACTCAGTTGCGATTTGAGTCACAATTATTTTTTTTCTGTGTATGAGGCTCCTGACAAAGTTTATGAATTGCTGACATTTACAAGTGGTAGAAATTTTATTCTCATCATTGTTGAAAGAGAAAAGAAAAACTATTTACTATAATAACGAGCGTATTCAAATTTCAACATTCAGTAAAGGCTTTTAATTTTAACATTTTTTTTTCTTCTTTTTAGGGCGGCTGCTTAGGTTGTTTTATACATTGGTAGCATTGACTCTGATCTTTGGAATTTCCACGATTAAAAATTCAGTTTGTGTCTGTATGCCGTTGTGTATATTTTTATATGTCGTTATAAGTTCATTTGAATATGTTTCGAGTTGAAACTAAATGTTGTACTCGTTATCTTAAGTGAAACCGAATACGGATTTCCAACATTAGCTCAATGTTTTTAAAGCACTCTGTATATTAGTGACTACATTTATCAAACAAAATGTTTGTACAGCCATTGCATGTAACTGTGATCATCAGACAATAGTGTAGTTGAATTTTGCGTTAGTGTTGTCATATCCTACTATGGCAACATGAAAATGACAAATTGAAAATCAAAATGATGCAGCTGCAGTTGTCTGCCCGCTTATACACGTTGGATGGGGAGCAAATACTTATAAATATTGCATAGTGCTGAAGGTCTGTATGGAAGCTTTTACAAGCCAATATTTTTCCAAGTTTTTATTTTGGGACAAGTTATCCACATTTTTTGAAATCATTTCTAATGTAAAATATTTTACAGCCAATTTTAATGGTATAATTTTTAGCAATACCTTCACATTATACAGCAAATAATCCAATCCTGTCAGTAACGATGGCCTTAATCCAATCCCTTTCTTCCTGATTTTCAACATATTTTTATAGTAAAACTATTGTACATTGTACGAGGGTAAGTAAAAAAAAAATTGTCCACACTTTCGCCATAACATAAAATTAGGTTTATCACGCTGCCTTCTACTCACGCGTACTATTGTGATCACGTGATCGAAGCTTGAGCTTGATCGCGCCATTTTTTTTTTACTACAGTTACAGTGTAAACATGACCATTCCGCTAGCAGTGTGCACCAAAAGAACAAAGCATTTTTTTTAAGCATTACGCCCCGAGCAAGGCGTGAAGCCACTAGGATGCAGGGGGGTGCAGAAGAGTTGGAGCGAGATCAGATAGGAGTGATAGAAGAAAGGATGAGCAGAAGGATAGTGGATAGATCAAGGTAACTGGAGATGTCGATTGACATTACATTTGAATAGTTGGAGATTATAGCTCTCAGGGAAACAGTAATAGGGAAGGGTGTTCCACAGTCGAGAGGTGCGAGGTATGAAGCTATTGGAGTAGAAGAGACGGCTACATTTAAAAGTTTTTACAGTGTAAGGGTGGGAGCGGGATGCCAGCCTTGTAGGGCGCTTGAATTCATGGAGTCTGGGAACCAGTGAAAGCAGCTCATCGGAGCAATTACCATGAAAGTATTTGTAGAAAAGACAGAGAGAGGCGACGGCGTGTCTGTGAGAGAGTGATGCAGAAAACAGTGTGAGAAACATAAAGATATGTTATGGTGAAAGTGTAGATATTTTTTTACTTACCCTAGTGCATAAAAATACTGTATATTGTCGTCTATAAGTTTTCTTTGTGTATATTTCTTCACATAGCTCTTGTATAATGCGACCCTAGCTTCTAAGCAATACTAGTGGGCCTGGCCAACCGTAGTTAAATATTGTAGTACTGGTTATCACCCTGGATATATTTTACCACAAATAAACTTTCTTCATTCTTTTTGTATAAACCTAGCCCAAAATGGCGTGAAAAATCACGCCTAACTGCGGTACCTCTTTCGCCCTGGGCCTGGCTCCTATGGAGCCTAAATGTTTTCTCTTTTGTCGCTATATGAAGAGCAAATCCCCATCCATTATATATGTCACTTAAAATGAACAAATACTTTATATAAACGAAGAATCAATAGATTTTCTCCTATCTCATATTTGCATTCATCTTCGTTCCGCAAGTGTAGCTGTAACCAAAGGCTAGTCGAAGGTGTCATGATAATGTAGGCCTATCAAGTAGGTTACGGTCAGAAAACTCCGTCAGAAAAAAATACCTCTGTATAGGGTAACAAGTCATCGAAAATACAAAATTTTTAACCTCTTCTAAAAATTACCTGCGACCCCCCGATATTTTGCAGTAAAAAAAAAAGATTATAAAAACATGCATTTCACTCGTTATTATTTCATATCACCTGAAGAAAACCGGAGCCTCTCGTCGAAGCGTCTTTACTGTCACATTCACAACGTTTCGGCTGTGGCAGTAAAGATGAGGACAGCCATTCGAATATTTTACCAAATACAGTGTCACCCGGATATAAGAGACCCGGATATAAGAGAAACCCAGATATAAGAGAGATTTTATCTGGTCCCAAATTAGAGCCTGTGTTAATGTATATAAAATAGACCAAACCCGGATATAAGAGAAACCCGGATATAAGAGACTTTTTCTCCGGTCCCGACAACTCTCTTATATTCGGGTTGCTCTGTATATTTTTTTATCGTTTAATCTTCGGTATTTAGGCCTTTCCCCAAATTTGAATGTCTTGAATATCGGGCGATTTTAACGAGAGAGAGAGAGAGAGAGAGAGAGAGAGAGAGAGAGAGAGAGAGAGAGAAAAGAATAAGGTAATCAAGAAAAGATTAAAAAATAGAAAAGAAAAGAAACGAAAAAGGAAACGAAAAAGGAAACGATTTATCTCGTATTAACCCATACTTCTTGATCTTATTATCCAAATCGCTGTTGCCTGTGGCTTTAAGATGTGGCATAGCAAAGTAGATTACACAAAACTGAATCCCTGTTGTAATGAACAATGTCACGTGTACACTATGTATGTAAAGGTGACGGTACTTTGTGTAACGTGTGTGCGTGTATGTGTGTGTGTAGTCCTACGTAAAGCTCGCGTTCTTTTGCTAACAAAAAAACCCCCAAAAAACAATAGGAGAAAAGAATAGTTACATTGTTATTGTATTGACCAAATGGAATGCCGGCTGTCTTTGACGTTCGTAATTTGGTAAAAATATAATTAATTACCTCCAGAACCACTTTAAAATAATCTCTCCCGTTTTTTTTTTTTTTTTTTTCTTTGAAATTCTTTATACATTCTTTGTTGATTGTGTTAATCCAAAGTTTGGGGGCAAGTGATAAGAAGGTGTACTAAAAAAAAAAAAAAGTTGCTTATAGGCGATTAAGGAAAGAAAAGAAAGATGGAAGAAAGAATAAATGCAGAAAACAAAGAAATAAAAAAAAAAGAACGAAAGAAAAGGTTTTAAAATCGGGAGAAAAATTTCAAGGAAACAAAAGCAGTTAAAAAAAGAAAACGAAAACAAATGAAACCTCCCCAACCAAAAAAAAAGAAAAAAGATAACAAAGCAATGAAAGAATCGTTTGCTTACGTGATGTGAAGAAATCTTTCTCTGTTTCTCTCACACGGTATTTCTATCTTTTTTCCGCTCTTTCCGTCGCCATTTCTCTAATAATTCACTTCCGGGTCTTCCTCAAGATCTTTTTCTATATCACATTCTTTTTTCCTCTTTCTCTCTCTTCTCTCTCTCTCTCTCTCTCTCGCTCTCTATTCCACTCATTCTTTCTTTCTGTTTTTCTTTTTTTTTCCTCATCCGAACTCCGTGCTTTCACTCCCTACCCTTTCTTTCTATTTTTACTTTTACTACATTTTTCCGAATTTTCCTCCCCTTCTATCCCAGACTCCCTTTCTATTTCTCGCTGTTTTTTCCTTTATTCTCTCTCTCTTTCTTTCTTTTCCACACATTCTACATTTCTATTTCTCCTTTGTACCCTCGCGTTCTTCAACTTGTTCTGTCTATTTCGCTCTCTTTCTCGCCTCAATTATCTTTTTTCTGTCTTTCTCTCACACTATCACTCTCATTCCCTTTCATGTTCTTTCTGTTTCTTTTTCTTCTTTTTTGTCCTCGCTTGCTATCTCTCTTTTACATTATCAATTTTTCTTTCTTTTCATTTCTCTCTATCTCTCATTTCCCTATCTTTTTCTCTTATCCTCTCTCTCGCTCTCTCTCTTTTCCTCTTTTATGCCCCGCCTTCACGCTCGCTTATTTTTCGTCCTCTATCTCGCTTTCTTTGTTTCCCTGTTCTCTCTACATGTCCTTCTCTTTCCTGTTTAAAAAGTCATTTTGATAATATGACTGTGTACATTAACTATGACCCACCGAATTATTTTGTTAGATGTTGTCCCGGTAACGAAAGAGGTCAGTCTCGTAGACACACGTACGCACACGGGCTCGCGCGTAATAACAATCAAAATTCAAGTACGTATACACACACACAGACAATCTCACGTGTGCACACAGCATTAAACAGATGCACCGAAGCTTTAGAGAAAACAGAAGCAAAAAAGTGAAAGTTGAAATGTCTTTGGGACATGACGAGGAAAGAGGGCTTGGAAAATTTGACACTCACAAGACATACTGAAAACAGAAGAAAACAACGCATAACCTAGCTTATGGGCTTGTGCAGTGTTATAGTGGAACACACCTATTCTATAGACTCTCCCACCTATAATGAGGAGGAGTAGTAAGAGTAACGAGGGAGTCGCTGAGGGGGTCGGTCGCTGAGCGGGTCGGTCGCTCAGTCGATGCCGGACGATACTAAAGTATCAGCGACCACAACTAGATTACTCTGTGTCAATACCTATTATATCAAGTTCATAACGTTTTGTACGTCGAACCTATTTTAGGACCGACTTAGTACAAATACAAGCCTCCACTGTGAAATCACACCATAACATGCAGATGGTTGATAGAACAGGGATAAGAAGATAAGGGATACAAAGGACAATGAATGGTGGAGAACCGTGATCGCCCACATCCTGAAGGAACATGGCACATAGAAGAAGAAAAACAGCTCTAGGTACGTGCACAAATAAACGTGATGTACGCATGCGGATATCTATGCACTTCCGGTCAGGATATTTACCAAGGTATTAATCCTCTGATATGGCAGTGAATGCTAGACAACTTCCTCACATATAAAGAGAAGACTTGATGTAACAGAGATATGGTTCTACAGAAGGATGCTGAGAATACCATTTGTACAACATGTGAGCAACGAGGAAGTTTTAAAGAAAATGGAAACCAAATACGGAGAATCATAAAGCGACAGTTGAAATTTCAAAAATCATGGCGCTGAAAGAAGGCTAAGAAAATTTGACACTCACAAGCGAAACGGACAGTGGGAAAGAACGAATAACCTACCCAGGAAGTTGTGGAGAGCCATGATCAACCTACCTAACGAGTCGGCTGATAGAACAGATAGTGGGAAGGATAGGAAAAAGGTGAACATTGTTAAGAGCTATAAAGGATAGGAAGTTGTGGAGAACCATGATCAACCTACCTAACGAGTCCGTTGACAGAACAGGTAGTGGGAAGGATAGTACACACACACACACACACACATATATATATATATATATATATATATATATATATATATATATATATATATATATATGGGATAAAAATGTAGTTTTAAACCAGGTTAAAGTGGTCAGTATCAAAGATAGAGCGTATGCATATATACATGGCCTGGACGATTGTATTTAGTATGAAAGAAAATGTCGGCCTGGGTGGTGACCTCAATGTCTAATATAATATATATATATATATATATATATATATATATATATATATATATAGTACGCTTCCAATAAATTGAATTGAGATCTCCGAGCCGCTGGCGTATTTCGTATAGGGAAAGATATCTGACTGACGTCAAATCGGACGTCTAGCCACACTGAGGAGCTGTGATACAGCGACACAGTCTGTCAGTGGATGATTATATGTTCCCGGAAATCTCAAGGGAACGGGGCTTTAAAAAAACCCCAAAAAAACAGCGGCTCCTACTGTTATTAAACATTACTCTTCAAGTAAATTGAATCGAGTTCACCAATCACGTGGCGTATTTCGTATTGCGACGATGGCCGAGAGGTAAGATATCTGACTGATGTCGGCTTAAAGCAATCGGACGTCTAGCCACACTGAGGGGCTGTGATACAGCAAAACAGTCTGTGGATGATTATATATTAACAGTCTGTGGATGACTATATATATATATATATATATATATATATATATATATATATATATATATATATATAATCTATGTTCATTTGGCCGATGTAAATGATGGGACTTGAAATTGGTTTCAGCAAACGAAATCAGGTACTGTAAGCTTGGATATGTGTGTGATGTAATGGATCGGAATTCTTAATCAGAGAGCAGGGTACCAATTCTATTTCGGTTCGTTATTTTCACGTACGCGCAACTACCCTTGGGGAAAGGACTGAATCCACCTCTCCCCACAGCTGTGTGCTAATTAGTAAGACTTGTATCCCTGAACCATTATTTTCTACAAATAGTAAAATAATATTGCGTACTAAATATTTAGATTTCGGCATTAAATAACGCATAGAGGTTGATATATCGCTAAACAAAATCAGTCAGCCAGCAAACAAAGGAACGAGGGAATTAGCCCCCAAAAAGTTACATAAAGACACAATGAAATCCTTGACAACAAATGTCGTTACATGCGAAAGTACTTGGGTTTAAACAAAAAAAAGAACTTTGAAATTTTCGCCGATGATATATATATATATATATATATATATATATATATATATATATATGTTATGGTCCGTTCCTTGTACCACGGTGATAGTCAAGGTAGAACCAATAAAGAAGAACTCGAACCCGTATATGGAATAACACAGATATATTACAAATAGGAATATATACAGAGAAGAAGAAAGTGTTAGTACAAACAATCAGGTTTAGTCGTAATTGTCTGAACGCGACTCTGTTTCGGACTGCCTCTGACTCGACTGACTGATAGACTCCTGACGGGCCTCACTCCAGACTTCAGACTGAACTCCTGACGGAACTCTCAGGTTTCTCTTGAGGTGCAGTATTTATTACGTATGGAATAGTCCATTATGTTATTATGGGTAAGGTCCCATAACAATTTACATATATAATTCATTCGGTTATAATTTATTTTATGAATATATAAATATTCATCTCTTCAGGCCGAAGTTTTTTTTTTTAAATAACAAATGGAGACAATATATCCAGACGAAAGCAAAGGGGAGAGGAAAAAGATAAAAGACAAATGAAAAAAAATAGTATTAAGAGAGGAAGAAATAAAAATAAAAATGTCAATATAGGGTTGAAATTTTTTTTTAAAAAACCTTACATTGGGATCTCTTTGGATTCATGTCCCTGGAATTATCCCTACTAATTATCAATTGATCTATATCTATATCTATCTATCTATCTATCTATATATATATATATATATATATATATATATATATATATATATATATATATATATATATATAAACGTGTGTGCGCCTACTTTTATGTCCACACAGAAGAGAGGAATAGATAAAATGAAAGGATCAGCGATATATATATATATATATATATTCACAGTCGCTGTAATAGTGCATTTCTTCCCGGTCTAGTACCGTGTATGTGCCTTCATATATTTGGCCCAGTTTCGTTAACAAACTAATGGGTGAATTTCTTTTGAAAATGATATTCCTGGTGACGCCCAGCTATAGGGGAAGGTAGATTTGTGCTTTCGCAGGTTTTAGGGATTCGAGTACAACACGTCACATCACCAGATTTAGAGTGCGAAAAAAAAAAAAAGAAAAAACGTTAAATTTGACAGAGTGATGAGCCGAAAACGACGGCTGTGTAATTGACACTGCAGATTTGATGTATTGTTCGCTTTTTGTCAGTTTGAGAAAATAACTTCCCCAAAGATTAAAGTCAGTGAGTCAGCATTACCTAGGTCAAGGTCCTCCACAACTTCCTCTTTTCCCTTTCCAGCCTTGAGCGAGTTCAAGAACGTTTCCGTGGTATTGTCAATAACGCCTTTTACTCAAACGTGATCTAGCAAGCATTTCGCTTCTTCTTCTTCTTCTTCTTCTTCTTCTTCTTCTTCTTCTTCTTGTATGCCATGTAATTTCAGGACGTTGACGATCAAGGCTCTCCACAATTTCCTGTCTTTGTAGCTTTTAATACATTTTGTCTTTTAGCTATCTCTCCTAAACCTGCTTCGACATTCATTCACTTGCGTTTTTTCTGTCCCTCTTGCCTTCAATCTGTCTTGTGAGTATCAAATTTTCCAACCCCCCTTTCTTCTTTATGCGCACTAGAAATTTCAACTCACTTCCTGGTGTTAAGTATAAGTTTCTTTTTTGTTGCAGTTGTCTGTAGAGCTTCATCGTTGCTCATATGTTAAGTCCAAGATACTCTGCATAAGGACCATTCTGTTACTTCAAGTCTTTGAGGCGATTGTCCAGCATTCACTGCGATATAGAAGGAATTATATTACATGCTAGTCTATCGTTATTATTTACCATGTTTCGCGCATGATAAGACATTTTTTCTTGAAAATCACTCTGCGTCTTAGCACTGAAAGCTCACGTTGTAGAGAGAACTTTACCAAAGATGATAAATTATAGTCACCTTATACAAGCAACGACGAACCCCAGAAGCCTACAGTCATCATTCATATATAATAAGTGTCCTATATCACGTTAGTATCATTCCATATTACCGTATTTCCAGTATGTTAATTCGCATTTCCCCTCAAAAAATCATAAGTTGTAGAGAGGAGTTTATCAACCGTCACGAACCCCAGACACAAGATGCAAGCAATCACAAAACTCCTGGACATATAATATGAGTTTACAATTATAATTTATATATAATAAATACCGTATATCCCATGAGTATCATATCATATCAGCTGGGAGTTTGATGCAAAATATATGGTATAGCCGAAAAAGCTTGGACATACAAAACATTCGGACAACGATATGCACAAATTGTCTGAATGTTTTATATGTCCGAACGCTTTATATACTATATATATATATATATATATATATATATATATATATATATATATATATATATATATATATATATATATATATATATATGCATATATATATATATATATATATATATATATATATATATATATATATATATATATATATATATATATATATATATATACATATATATATATATATATATATATATATATATGTTATACATATATATATATATAACATATATACATATATATATATATATATA